TTAATATGTTATAGTCTTTCCAATAGACTTAAACGTGTTGTTAAACAAAGTACAATCAAATCTCTTTTGTCAATAAAATTTATTTCTTGGATAAAACAGTATGTATGACCCTTGATGGCTAGTCTAATAATCATAACGAATCACTTATTTGTGTTAGTGTAACTGACATGAAAGATGTATGTGTATACATTTGTTAGAGAGTATTGATACTCATGGAATCATAAATACTATAGATAACAGTCACACTTAGAACTATTTAGCCTCTATAACTGAAAAAGTTATCATTAGACATGAGAAGTTTGGTTGTAATACAGATAGTGTTGCGACTGACAATGCTTCAATTATGACCAAGATGGTTGAACTATGTCTGAGACAATAAAAAATAAACAAATAATTATCTATTAATATTCAGCCCATCTTCTTAATTTTCTGGAGCATGATATAAAAGTACCAAGTATAAAAATTCATTTTAATACTATAATCAAATATTTTTAAAACTCATATTTTTTGGGCTCTAAATATAAAATGTAAGTAGGTAAAACATTAATTAGGCCACACAATGTGAAGTGGAAAACCTTTGCAGATACTATATTCTTTTATTTAGACAATTTCTACTTATTATATAAGGTGTGTGATAAAAACCGCAATGTTATTGATTTTAAAGTTTTTTCTATGATTAAATATATGGAGACTAAAAATAATGCTTAATAATTTCTACGTAAACTTAAAAGATTTAAATTGCTTTAGATAGAGTAAAAGTTGATTTATGTACTATTAGAGAAGCTATCTTCATCTGGTTAGATTTAAAAATGATTTTTGAAGTTGAGAATTGCAATGGAAATTTGATAGAATTATTCATAAACCGTTTTGAAATGGCTTTGACTAACTATCACTTTTTAGCTCACTTACTTGATCCTAGATATTTGGGTAATGTTTTGAATAAAGATTAACTGGATACAACCTACAATTATATCAATATTTATACCGAAAAATTATGCCTGAAATAATCACCTTTTAAGCTCATGGATTTTCATTTAAATATTATCTTTTTAAAAAAATGTTGTTAGTACTGTCAAGTCTCTTACATGGTAGTTGGTTTTAGAAAATAAAATAAGCCATAAAATATTAGACATGGTATAACAGCTATTTAAGCCTGTTTTTTCAGCGGATATAGACAAGGTTTTTTTCAACATATGGTCTTATTCATACTTAACTAAGGAACAGATTAGGTGTTAATGAATCATCAAAATTCATATCATTATTTAAATTTTTAAATAAAGTTAATATAACTAAATAAAAGCATAATAATATGTATAATTTGTGTTTTTGTAAGTAATTTTGTTTAAATAATTTACCTATTAAATAATTTTAATTTTCCATTAATACAACTATTTATTGTAAATTTTTATATTATTATGAAGAAAAAAAAATGTGATAATTGTTAACTATTTTTATTTATTTAAGTTACCATATAATTTATTATTTATATTGTGTTTAACAAAATTTTATTAATTCAAATAAACAATGAACGAGTAGATACTAAACACATATAATTATTAACTTTGTGACAATTAAATTCAATTTAAATTAATAAATACAAAAGAATTGAATAAAAACATTTAAATTGTTTTAAATAATGTATTTTTACTAATTATAAATAAATTAAGTAATGTTCTTTATCTTTTACTTGTTTAAAAAATGAATTTTCAGTGTTTTAAACAAGACATTTTTTGTTTATTTGGAGTGTTTACAGCACGAGTTTAAAAACTTAAATCTTGCTTAAAATAATAATTATTTGTGATTTTTTTAAACTTTTTTAGCTACATATATTTCTTTCTATTATAAAATTTTTTTTATATTTCCGACAAAGTATAAACTTTGAAATATTGATCCAATAGTTTTTTATTATTTTTTTTTTTTAGATTTGTGTTTTATGTAGCAACATGTTACAAAAAATTTGGAATATTATAATTTGTTAGTAACACACACAAATAAAGTTAAAAAATTAATAAATTACAAAGTAAAATTATTTACTTTTGCAGTTGAATACTTTTATTACTTCAAATCTAATTCGACAATAAATACATTAAAAATATTAGAAATGAATCATTTTAATTGTTTGTATGAATGAAGCTGTTTAAGGTACTTGAAAAAAATAGGTTAGAAGGGTTGGAAAAATAAATCGCAGTCACAAAAAAAAACACATAGTAAAATAACATTAACATGAATAAGAAATTTCTTCTCATGAGAGGAGACTACAGTAATGGGATCCTTGATATTTATTGAAGTTAATAAATCTATATGAGATAAAAATTAAATGATTTAAAAATTTTTCTAACTTAAAAAAATGCAAAATATTAAATGCCACAGGTGGGTTCGAACCTGGTACCCTAACCATGGATGACACAAGTGTTACCGATTCGGCAACTGTTCATCGCTTTCGCGGTTATTAAAATTGGCAATTTAAGATAATTAAAATTTTAAAGTTACTTTTTTGACTTTAAAAAAGCAAAAAAATTTAAATATTTTTAACTTCTTATGTCTTATGAACTTTATTCTAAATAATAATATAAGGTTTAATGTAAGATTAAATAAAAATATCAATATTTCCAGAATATTTTCAAAATTGAAAAAGCTTAACTTGTGTGCAAAAATTATTTTTTTAAGTTAAGTTGAAAAAGTTCTACTTTTTATACGTATATTTTAAGTTTTGAAAACCCCCTCTATAAAGGAAAATTGTTCAACTTAAATGAATAGTATGTTAAATGAAAGAGTTATATAAAATGTATTTAGTAATTATGTTAATTTGTTTATTTTTGAAAAAATTATGTAAGTTTTAAGAAAAAAAAGTGAAAAAAAAGACGAAATTTATGGATTTGAAAAATTGTAATTGTTTTGGAGATTACCCCCATTTGCGGGAACGAGGAACATTTTTTCAATTTTTAAGGGTAATGTCTTCAACTAAATACAATTTGTGATCTTTTGACATATTGTTCATCAAAATAGGTTCAGTGAGAGCTGGGAAAAAGTAGCAACAGATACAAAAAAAAAACACATGGTAAAATTAATAACTTCTCAGCTTCGCATCGAAGCTAAAAAATTTATGTTAAATGAAAGGAAAATACTTAGTATTTGAATATAAAAAAAATTATAACTATTTGTTAATATTTCAATAAGTTATGATAGTTTTAAGTACAAAAAACATCCCGATAAGAGCAATTTTTTTTGCAATTATTACATTTTTTGTTTAATTTCGGTGGCAATATACTCATAGAAGATAAGGTGTCAGGACAAATTTTTTTTTTCATTTTATAGTATATGGCATAAGTTTTAATTTAATATATGTTTAAAGGACGCAGTATTTCCGGAACATTTTCAAAAATTAAGTTGAAAAAGTTAGTTTTTGTAAAAAAGTTGCAATTTTAAATCCCCCCCCCAATGAGCAAGTTAAGTGTTAAATTTTCAAAAAAATTATATCAAATGAAAGGAAAATGTCTAAGGATTTAGTATAAAAAAAAATTATGTTGATTTGTTTATTTTTAAAAAAGTTTTAAGAAAAAAAAGTGAAAAAAATGACAAAATTTATGGATTTTTAAATTTGTAATTTTTTTGGAGATTTCCCCCATTTGCGGGAAACGAGGAACATTTTTTCAATTTTTAAGGATAATTTCTTCAACTAGATAAAATTTGTGATCTTTTGACGTATTTTTGAAAGAAATCGGTCCAGTGAGAGCTGAGAAAAAGTGGCAATAGACATAAAAAAAAAAACACATCATGATAAAATTAATACCTTCTCAGCTTCTCATCGAAACTAAAATAAAGCTAACATCTTTATTACACAAAAGTGAAGATTAAAAAAATATTTTATAACAGATAAATTGAAAAATATATAACTAAATGAGGAAAATAAAAAAATTATTATTTCAAAAGTGGTTAGATTTAAAAGAATCCTTTTTTTGTATTTTAATAAAAGTTAAATGACGTAGCCTGAAAATGAAAAAAAAAATTTTTAAAAGAGTTATGCGATTTCAAACATTAATGTTTCCGTCGTTTTCCATCACCCTACTTAATATTTATTAGCCATCATTATTTGTTATTAATTGAATAAATATTGTTTATTAATTATATGAATATAATTTTTTTAATTTAACGTTAGTTTTAAAAAATAACTACATTATCACTATTGACCAATTTCAATAAACTCTGAAGGATCACAAAACTAGGGTAAGACAGTGCAAGAAGACGAATTCAGTATTTCTTAAAATCAATTACATACAGAACCACATACTAACTATTCACATATAGCATTGCTATATACTTTGACAATTAGTAGTACTAACACAAATGCGTGCAGAGACAAGAAAATATCTCAAAAATGAAAAATTTTCTGGAAAATATTTATTTCTCCCTTTAAAAGATGAGCGTAGATGATATGGGTGATCGTGTCAAATGGAAACTTAGGATAAGGGTGACCAACCCCAAATAGTTAGGAGTAAGGCGAGGAAAAAAGATGAAAGAGACGATTAAAAAAATTAATAATAATTGGCTGAGTATTAAAGTAGTTCTCATGCAAATTTTAAATTTTAAATCTATTAACAGAATTTAGGAAAAATCGTGGAAGTTAAATCTCACCATTTACCACATCCTAACTTTTTTGTAAATTTTGGTGGGAGAATTAAATATATTTTTCTCCACATTAAAAAAAAATTTTTTGTAACTTTACAAATTTACTTTTATTTTTAAATTGAAGGATTACAGAAATTTTTAGAGCAGCTAACGTTTCTCTTAACTTACATCTTGGTCAATGTTATAGTATTAAATAATAAGGTATATGCTTTATTCATTAAAGAACTACCCAAAAAACCAAATTTTTTGATTAGCTTTATAAATAGTATAAAAAGAGATTTAATATAAGATCTTAAAGTCACTTAAATATTAAGTCACTACAATAATAATGGGAAATTAAAAAAAGATAAATAATTTCAAGGCTAAAATTTTACCTTAAATGCGTAATGTTTCAACACTTCTTTGTATTATCCAGCATTTTCCATGTAATTTATTGTATCACTACCTATAAATAATTGACTATAATAAATATTTATATATATATGTAATGCTAGGTATGGAAATTATTCGTAAAAAACTGATCATTATTTTTTGACATCGTGTTAAACCTTAGTTCGCATTTTATAACACCTACGCGTATGTGGTCTTTCAAATTGACATTAATTCATTCGAAAACTTCAACTATACACGATATACATTTTTTTTTCTTTAATCATAAAACATTCTAACAATAATTTCAATAAAGAAACTCAACAAAAATCGATTGACTCGACTAATTTAAAAAAAAATTTCAAACAATTTTTAATGAATATTAGATAAAGTCAAATAATATTTAAATGTATAAAAACAATATAAAAATAATCATAGAAATAAAAATAAAGAGGTATTTACTAGAAAAATAAGCTTTGAGTTCTGTTAGTCTTGTAATTGACTCTCTATATTAGATGTGGCTATTAAATGGTCAATAGCTCTTAAAACTGGCCAACTGAAATAATTCCAAGGTCAATGTTTTTTTCAACTTCAATAAAATTTATTATTTACAGTTTTTTTTGTAACGCATCAATAACACAGACACACTCGCAATAATAGTTATTTGAACATTTATCCAGATCTACAAATCATAATTCAATTTAACACTCTGAATTAATATGTAGTTATTTAAAAAATTAAAATACTTTGTTAAATTTATAAAAGAGTAGAAAAAATATCGAAATGGAATAAATATGTTTTCTGTATTATAATTAATTCGATAAAAAATTCAAATCAATCAAATTTCACCACCGATAGGTATTACTACATTTCATAAACATAAAATATTTAGAATTTTACTATTATATATTCTATATAATCTACTATATATTTTCGCATTTATATTTAAATGTTTTTTAGCATATTTAATGGTGGTATATAAAAAAAAAAATAACATAAAATATTTAAAATCGACCTTGTATAGATCATGTACCCCTCAGAATAAATCATGTCTGACTACGCCTCGAAACAAAAGACTGTTTTTATAATAAGTATTTTATTGTATTAAATATCAATGTCATGATCTGATGAAAAGCATTAGTATAGTTGAATACTGTTACTATTATTGTCAAATTATTCAATTGTTTTTTTTTTCAAGTATATTAAAAAATATTTTCTTAACATAATAAATTTCGTGTTAAATAAAAAAATTATTTGTTGTACTTCTGGGTATTTAAAACTGATAATTTATGAAAATTATAATGAATTTAACACTTAATATACTTATTTCTTGAATAGCATCTAAATGTTAACATTACATGATCTTAACAGTACATAACATTTGATATATGTATATTATTTATTATAATATTTTTAACTTCGTTTAGTGTCTAATAAGATCTCTGGTTAACAAAAAATAACTTTTAAAAACTTTCTTATACAACTTCTAACCCATCGATCCTGAATACTAAATGAAAGCTGAATAAAAACTGACATGATATAGTTTTAATACTTAATTAATTAAATTTATTTTAAAATGAATCATAAAAACAAGGTAAGAAATTTACTTTTTTAATGTGATGGAATATAAGTTAATTTAAAATCTCTACAAGTAAAATTCAATACATGTAATTATTGATATTTTTTTGTTAGTACAAAGTATAATTGTTAGCTACAAATATTAATAATAAAACCTGTATGTTTCTAAACTTTATGTATAGATAAAATTGTATGTATTTATATATTGATACAGAAAAAAATATTTTTTAATTTTGGTTAACCATTAGTATTTAACTATTAAATAATAGACATAGATGCAATATTAACAAAATTTTTGGAGGATCTTATTACTACAAATTCTTTTTAAAATTTTAATTTATATAATTATTAATATATAAACTTTTTTTTCCAATATTTACTGCTGATATTAAACCGATAACCCATAATAAAATACTTTAATTAATCATTTTTTTTTATACTCCACTTATCGATACAATAATCAAACAGAGCATTATACATCATTAGATATATTTTGAAGATGCCTAACTACGTCAATGTTTCCAAACAATTTAGAACATCTTAATAGGTAATACTTCAAATTAAAGAAACTCTTAATAATGTATCACAAAATCTTAACATAAAAACACGAACAAAAAGTTTATTTTTACATTTACTAAAATTCAAAGATGAAAAAATGAATCAAAAAGGTTCATTGAAAATAAAAATGAATGAAAATTACATCATAACATAATACAATAGTATAAAAGTTTTAAAAATTAAAAAAACTAATAGAATATTTACAGATATACTTCATGTAGACATATATCTGTAAACATTCTAAATAATACAACAATCCATAAAATTTTGAACACATACATATGTATTAGAAAATATTTAAATTAATAGAAAATTCGTAAACATATAAATAATTGAAGTCGGCTTATGATAATAAAGTATTACATACATATTTTTATAATGTTGGATAAAAAAAAATGCCGGTGTCGATAAATCTGATATCTCATAAATCGGCCGTTATTTAATGATAGATTGCATATTGATATAATAATTAATTGTATATAATACAATTAATATCAAATTAATCATAATTAATTGTATATAGAGTGCTCAGTAAGTAAGGAAACGGGTATCTATTGTAATCATTATTTTAAAAAATTGATCTGTTACCTTATTACTGAACCTCTGTATAAACATTTTATCTAAAATTTTGAAGGGATTAATTTTAAAATTGCAGAGGCTATTCTCTCCAAGCCTTTCATAATTCGCGTCTTGTTAATGTAGCAACAAAATAATTATGCAATTAGTAGAACTAACTAATAATAGAAATTAATTTTTTTGACATATTACATTATATAACATTAATACCTAACGTTAATGGATTCCATCCATCGGTAACACCTCTATTAGTCTTAAAGTTATATTTTAATTATAATTTTGTTGCTGTCGTTGTTTTTTTTGTGTCAAAAGGTCTCGGTTTCAGTTGCGTTTGAGTCTACGTGATGGGTTGTCAAGTATTGAAGTTGTGCGCATTCTTTTAATTAAACCGTTTGTGTTTATGGTGAGTTCTAAGTGAAACCTAACATAGTGTAAAATAGCAAATTCTTTGACAGCTTCGATGGATAAATCTTTTTGTAATTTATTACATTCGTATATAACATTCGTAATATTTTCTTAGAATTACCAAATAAATGCAGATAACTATTTTTATAGTTTATACATAGTTTTTAATATATTCAAATATCGTCCATTTAGGCCAACTAAATCATTTTTCCATGTGTTTTATAAAGAATGCTATTAAATTTGTCATTAAACTCTGTAAAATAACAATAAAAAATCGGTTAATTAATTTATTTTATAAAGATTTGGTGAAATTTAATAGTTAAGCGTTTTATTTTGTTACAAAAATATATTTTTGACAGGAAATTACATGTATGTATTAAAAACAATTATTTTTAAAAATGTTCGATTAATTTTAAATTTAAAGTAATTTTTATGTGATTATATCGTCATAGCTTTAATCAGTAAATTTATAAAAAAAATTAATAGACACATCCAGCCTGTAAAGTATTTAAGTAGAAGTATTCAAATATTATTAAGTATTAAAATACTGTGTTGGGCCTGTACATATCATTGTGTGCTTTACCTCTACATTGTAATACTTTTTTCAGTGGAAGGGTATAATGTAACAAATAGATACTACTTATTTGTGTATATTTTTTAAATATTTTACATATTGCGTATTTCGTATTTCATATTATATTTGTCATCTACAGGAATTATGATAAGTAGTTGTGATCTGTTTGTGCGCGTGCGAGATAAACAGTTGCATACTACTTCAGACCGATTCATGAACGCCATTTATGAGTACACTTCGCTTTTTTTCTATCTTGAACATCATTTGCACTACTCGCCACCTGCATTGCCACATTGTAGTAAATATGAATTAAAAATGTTTTTTTATAACTTCCGACAATGTTTTTTATAATCTTATCAATCCTTACTTTTAAAGTCTAGCTAGAGCGTCGCCACCTAACCACCGGGTCTAGCGCAGTGGTTATGTCATAAATTAACCAATGTCGGAGTTGGTAAGCAAATTATCGTCTGTAGCAATGTTATTTTGTTGTGTGTTCTATGACATTTATATTATTATTCTTATAATACTTTTTCGCGTTTGACCGCTAACTAAACTTGAAGATATTACCCTCAAAAATTGAAAAAAATTCCCTCGTTCCCCTTAAACAGGAGAAATCCCCCCAAAAAATTACAAATATAAAAATCGCTAATTTTCGACACTTTTTTCAATTTTATTACTTAAAACTTTTTTAAAAATGACTGAGTCAATCAAATTTTTTTTTTAATAATACCTTAGGTATATACCTATCATATAATATATTTTTGTGAACATTTGACCCTTTACTAGCCCACAGGAAGGGATTCAAAATGACAACTTTTTCAACTTAACTTTTGAAAATGTTCCGGAAAGACTGATACTTTTATGTATACATAAAATTAAAACTTATATAATATGCTTTAATTTAAAAAAAAAATTTGACGTCGAGTCTTCTCTTCATGGTAAAAAGACTACCGTATGCAAAAATATGCTATTTTTATGAAAAAATTCTTGATATTATATTTTATATTTTTTATCATTATGTTGCTATAACTTTTTAAAAAATGCATGAATTAATTCTATTCTTTAATGACAAATACTTTATATATACCTCTTTCATTTGAACATTTTTTTTTAAATCGGATCATTTCCCTTTATACAAGGGACTTTCAAACCTTTAAAATTGCATATAGAAAGTAGAACTTTTTCATCTTAACTTATGTAAATGTTCCGGAAAAACTTACACTTTTATATATACCTTAAATTACAGCTTATGTAATATACTTTATTTTGAAAAAAAAATTTTACCTCTAGACTAGTATTCATGATGAAAACGGATATCAAAGTTAAAGAAAAACGTATAATTTCCGTGAAAAAATTCTAGATTTTATATTTTATATTTTTAAATTAATATTGCTATAACTTTTGGAAAAATGTATGAATCAATATTATTATTTTTTTATAAATAATTTTTATATACCCTTTTCATCTGAAATACTTATTTTTTAAATCGTATCATATCCCTTTATACATGGGGATCAAAACTTTAAACATGCGTGTTGAAACTAAGACATTTTAAATTTATTTTTGAAAGTGTTCCGGAAATACTTATACTTATATATATATATATTAAATTAAAGCTTATTTAATATACTTAAATTTGAAAAAAAAAAACTTGACCTCTGGATTTGTCATCATTGTGAAAATGACTACCGTCATTCAAAAATATGCTATTATTTGTGTTAAAATTCTGAGATTTGAATATTATTTTATTTTAAAATAACTGACAAGGGGAGTACACTGATTTTCATAAATATTATATAAATAAAATTAATATAGCATAGAAAATTAAATTGATTTAAATTTTTTTGCTCTTTTTAAGTCGAGAAAAATAACTTTGAAATTTTAATTAGCTTAAATTGTCATTTTTTTCAATTTACGGAAGCGACTTACGGTTGCCGAGTCGGTAACATTTGTGTTTTACGCGCTTAGGGTACAAGGTTCCAAACCGCGTA